CCTCCCTTTGTCAGCGCTGATACCTCTGAGCTTGAAACAATGTGTCGTGTTTACCTGCGCCAGATTTCATTTATTGATGATTCAGCCTGTTTTTAGCACCACTGGCGATAATGTACTGTCTGCACTTTGGGAGATAAGCGCAGTAGTTCAGGCTTTTTCGGATTGTCTCTCCTTCTGTCTCCTTCTTCTATTTTTATCTCTGCTCTCCTTCCAAAATTTTTCTTCTGCTTTCTCCTTTTATTTTATCCCGCAAGTCCCCTCGCCATTCTCGCACATTCACTCTTTCTCTATCTCACCTGTCGTTCTCGCCCCCCCCCCCCCCAAAGCCTCCCAGTGGAGAGTCAGAACCCCTATCTTTCTTTTGCACACTGTCCTCACTTTTAGACAGTCTCTCCTCTTCCCTCCCATCTTTCTGCCTTCATCCATAACACCACCAGGTGATTTGCCCCCTCTGTGATATTCATTCACGTTTCAGTTCTTCTCCTCTTTCTCTAGCTGTTTCTCCATGTGGGTTTCAGTTTCTAGTTCAGTGGCACCAGGGGACTATGACTGGGGGAGCTAAGGGGTGGATGGGAGGTTAGTGTAATTAGTGTGGTTAAAGTAGGTGCTTCAGGTTCTCAACCACCAAAATGTTACTTGAGTAAAACAAGATTTAGTCATTTATAGCAAGTAATCAGGAAATGTAAAATACTAGCATTACAATATCTGAAAACCACAGTTATATTTGCATCAGAACAAATGCATATGCACCAACACTCAACACCTGCTGTCCATAGACTGTATATACTATGTTACTATGTTATACTATGTTACTGTATATACTATGGACAACTTGGTTCCGCCTTCCGCCAGTATACAGATTTGAAGCCAAAAAGCTCTTGGTAATTCCTTATTTTTTCTCCATTTCCTGAAACCAACATTGCGCAATAGCGTTGTACACATTCGGCTGGAGAGTCACCAAGAGTCGCTGTGATGACGCTCGGCTCAAACAGCGTATCCCCCGGGTGAGCTACGCAATCCTTGTACGCCCATAGGCTGTATCAGGTGTCAATCATAGAAAACACAAACCTCCCTTATAACTTTTAAAAATGGAGCTGCACAGAAAAAAGAGGACTTGAGCACAAACCTGTCTGACAGTAACTACATGTCAACATTGCAAGCAGGAGGGAGAAAAATGTTTATTCTGTGAAATAAATTTCTAAAGTTTGTCCACAGCCCCATTAGCTTTGCTGGCGAAGGCGGGATTTATGACCTGTACTGCAGCCCGTCACCAGAGGGTGCTGTTCTCACCCATCAAGGAGGCAGATGCTGTCTTGATGGGTGAACAGTCTATGCTGCTGTCCAGTAGCTGCCCTCAAATACAAATACATGGTAGTGTGCCATTGCCAACACATCAAGATAGTCTTTAAACTAGATGGACATATCACATATTGCAAAACCACACTAAGGCATTAAAACAGATTCACAGTAATTTGCTGTAAAAATAGCTCAACGTGTGCTACCTAGCAGCTGCCTACCTGCAGCTATTGTTGTGTTGAAACTGGTATAAAGTCATAGGAATACTGCAAGATGGCAACACTTAACTTCAGGTCATGAGCTCACATTTACCACATAAGGATTCACAGTATTCATATTACAGTATTACAGTAACCCAGACCTCCATCTTCGCCTTTGCTGCCAATCAAACACATCAATAAACTACTCAAAGGCCACCTTAAACACACATTTTTAATACAGTTTCTCAAAAAATGTGGATTTATTGAAACATTTTTTGGCTATAACATGTACAGCACTTCCAAGGATAAGCGCTTTATGCTCAAGCAGATTATGAAAAGTAACCATAGAAGTAGCGACCCTCAAATCCCGCTAGATAGCAGCTGCAGTGAATGCCACAATCACATGGTACATGACAGCGGCAGCAGCAGCTTTCATAAAGCTCAGGACTTTAACTGACAGTTTTGATGCCGCTAGTCCTCGTCTGCACCACCCCCTTACCATCCTCATTACCATGGCAACATTTTTCCCTTGCATTAAACAGCAACATCTTAGCTAAATTAGCTAAAACTTAGCCGCCAAAACCTTGGCGATCCTACTCTGGGAAGCAGTTACCTGTAATTGTAAGTTTATGCTACCCCTCGTGATCAGTCCTCCAGATCCCGCACCCCTTGTCATTGCCTCTTTAACTCTTTTTCTCTCTGTTTTTCCTACCTGCTTACCCCTCTCTCTCTCCCTTCTTCCACTGTCATGACTTCCTCTTTAGTATTCTGTAAGTCATTGCCAAGTGTATAGCAATGTGCCTCACTCTGTCACAGCTCTCACTTCAGCAGCAATCATAGGAGAGGGGCGTCTTTGACCTCAACGTCCTCTTGACTGTATCTCAAGCTAAAACAATTCTCTGATCATTTGTCTCCGCATCCGCATCCTTACCGGGGTCTATTCTTCACTCTTTTCCACTCGATGTTGCTCTCCTTTACAGCCGTACCCTTTATCAGACCCGGCATGTTGACTAAGAACACATTCTTATTTACAGAAACAGCCTTGGGGAGAAGCTGCAGAGAGAGAGAGGGTCATACTCATTTACACCTTCACTCCTGGGAGCTGGCCAGCGGTGTGCTTTTTTCCACCGGAGTAGTTGGAGTGCCTTGCTAAGGGGCACTTGAGTAAACTTAAAAGACTTCTCAGGTCATCTGCAGATTCGGTCCATTTTTCTGCTTCTCGTTCTACTTTAATCTCTCACCTTTTTTTTTTTTTTTCTTCAAACCATCCCTCAGCTGCTTCTATTCCTCCATCCTTCCGCATTTACTTCTCCCTCTGCGTTTCCCATCTGTCCCTCGCTGTCACACATCAGGAGTGTGTCAGTGAGGATTCGGAATATGTCAGAGTGCCGTCTGGTCACTCTGAGGGTTTTTTTTTCTTCCCTCCTTCATCTGTCTCCTTCCTCCTCCACCATCTTCCCCTGCCATTGTAAACAACCGATTATGCCTTTGAGGTATTCTATCAGGGTGTTTTTTTTTTTTCTTTCCCCAGCTCTAATGATTCTTGTCATGGTGCGACGCCGAAAATTGAAGCACTCACAGATCCCCAAGTGTAACCGAGCCTTTATCTTTCAACTTTCAAATCCCAGACGCTCCTTAAGTCCTCTCTTTGGAGAGCCGGCACCAAAAGCCAAATCTCTCAGTCAATTTACCAAGCGGCTGTTATTATGTTGTGCATACTGCCATGATCTTACCATCATTAAAATTCGTCCCTTACATAACCATCAAGGACGGAGAAATCTCTCGCTGAGAAAAAAAAGTCAGCAAAGAAGACTTGTTATTTTTATGTTTTTATATACTTATTTACTTCCTGCTCTCAATTTTGGGAAGATTTAAAAGGAGTGAATGCTAAATAAGCACCAGCTAAGAGTAAAATATTCAAGAGGTGCCCTATTTACAAAGGCTGGAGAGTTTCTCTCCCACTGCCGTCACATGTTTGTTATGTGATATAAAAAGAGAGGCAGCAGCAACTCCTGAGACCTCATCCACAGATTTAATGTGCCAAGTGGAGTCTTTTTATAGCAAGTGTAAACACATTAGCTCAGTGCATTAAAAAGCACTTGAAATTTGGGCGAGTTTGGATAAGGGATGTGCTGTGTCTTCATGTACAAAAGGTGGAGGATGCTTCTGTGTTTGTGTGAGGTTTTTTTCTTTCTTTTTGGGAATAAAGTAGAAGAGGTTTGGTGTGTACTTATGCAAAAATCCTGAGTGTTCCAACACCTGTGTGCAAAGAAACGCATCTGTGCGCGAGTGTTTGTGTATTTTTTTTTCTTTTTCGGACGAGCTGCCAGACTGCCAGGCTGCTATCTTGGTGAGTCAGACGGGAAGGCGAGCTGGCGAGGCACGCCGATCGTTTGAAGTGCTGTTCTCTCCCGAAAAAGTTCGATCCGCCCTGGGGAGAATTTGTCATGTTGTTCCACCTTTCTGATTCCCCTATGGTGGGCATGATGGGGTGGATATTTGTTCCTATTTGCTGTTGACATTTCAGTTCACACAAACTTATGTGTAACAGACCGGTAAAGGTAACTTAGAAATCTGTTTGGCCTTGCCGTGAAATCTTCCCCTCTCCCTTTTCCTTCCCTGGTTTGGGACAGAAGTGGGCCAAGCAGCTCTTCTAGGCCAGTTCTTGACAGGAAATACTTCATCATTTATCCCTCAACCCCTCGACTACCTGCTAAAGTGTCTCTCTTTTGCCAAATCTTGTGTTTTCTTTCTTTCCACTCTTATTCATCCTCGTCTTATTCCCCTTCTCGTAAGACCTTACATCTCTTTGCACCTCTTAATCGTGTCTTTCTCCTCACTTCCCGGCCCCATCCACCTTCTCCCCCTCCTCTATCTCACACCATCTTCCCCGCGCGGTCTTGTCATGCCATCTGAATTGAACACCTTTTCTTGCATCGGTTAATTAAAGCAGCTCTCTCACTCACACGTTATGAACACAACTCCTCTGAGATCCATCAAATCCCCGGGCCTGTGAGTAAAAATGAAGCCGAAAGCGGGTAATGTTGAAGGCAAGTGATAGAGAGACATAGGTGAGAATAGGGAGGATGGAGAGAGAGCATATTGTGCAGAGAGCCTCAAGAGTGATTCAGCCATTGTTACTCATCCCCTCCTTTTTGCAGGAGGGCTCATGTCATGAGTATTTTAAGTGCTCTCCATTCCGTTGTTCTCCTTTAATCCTGTTAGATAACTCTCTTCCTCCCTCCTCCTTCTGCGCCTTTTTCTTTCTATTTCTCTCCTTTTCCTCCTCCGCTCCCCGCTGCCCACTCAGCAAACGGCGAGTCTTGTGCTCTCTGCCACGAAAAAATAAAAGGCTGGAGTGTGCCTAAACAAGGTAGGAAAAAGGAGAGAGGGGGGGAGAGAGAGAAAGAGGAAGTGAGAGGGAAGATGACAAAGATGTGGCGATACTCAGTAGGTGTTGGAGAAATCTGCTGGCCAGTGCGGGCTCATTTGTTATGAGGAGGGATGAGCGTGGACGCCAGCCAGGACGGTGGCGAGTGAGTTGTGAGGTGGAGCCTGCGCACAGTTTGTGGTTAAGACGCACGCGGAAAAAACGAAACGGGATGGAGTTTGGATTGATTGAAATGGTAAAATCTGAATTTCCATATCTGGGAAAGCAAACACAGAGCGGCATGTTGTCAGTCTTCTGTCAGCTGTCCAAACACAGACTCACGCATGCATACAACTCACAGGAAGAATGTTGTCTCTCATATAAGACTGGGTTTTGTAACCTCAAAAAAGAGCCTTTTTTTCCTTTTCCCTGCATATTTGAAGCATTTGATGATAAGAGGTTGAATCACATTGGATTTACACCAAATAACACGTGATGCAATGTCTCAAACCTGGCTTGTAACCGCAACGCAAAAACCAGCAACACTCTTATCAAACCTCACCAAAGCTGCTTCTCCTGCCTCAGAAAAAAAAAAAAAAACATTTCCCACAAGCCCACCCTACATCCCTCGCCCATCATTTACATGAGGACAATTACAAATGAGCACAATGTAGAGAGCAGGAGCTTGGCAGTGTAGTTCATTTGCCAAGACGGGGGCAGCCACTTAGCACAGGTGAGGTGGGGCGGCTACAGTCCTGCAGCTCCTTGCTTGGAAAATGGGTCAAAAGAGAAGAAAAAGGAATCGCAAGAGCAATAGCACAGACTAGTGGAAAATGTGCAAAATGACTGGTGTCAAATCTAACATCAGTGTTGTAGATTTGAAGGTCTGTTTGAGGAATCTAACAGAGGTGATTCCAGCAATCTCCTAAAGGGAAAAACCCCTTTGATGCATGGTCAGAGCATTTAAAGGGCACCATCATGACCGCTCACCCCAACAAGAACAACCTCCGCATTGATACTCGAGCCACATGACTCTTCCTCTCCTGCCAAAGAAATTAATCCAACACAAAGAGGGGGAAGGTGGAGCAGACGCTCGTGCTGAGAAAAAATTTGCATGACCCAAAAATGCCCTGTTTGTGCCCCGACTCCATAAATCAAAGCGAGGGTAAGAATCCCCCTGACGCTCCCATTCTTTGTCCTCAAAGGTGATAAATTGATCCAGAGCCGGCTAATAAGCAGAGGCACAGGGGCGGCCAGAACTTCCCAAAGATTTATGCTGCGACAAGTGGATTTATAGAAGAGCTATGCGCAGAACAAAATCTATTTACTTCGTTCGTTCGGATGGTACTCATGAGATTTGAGATTTGAGGGAGTCCTTAGGGAAACCTGGGGTAGGCCTATCAGGACAATAGAAATAGAGTATCTGTCATGGAGGCAATGAATGTGATGGAATTACCTTCTCTTGATTGATGTACATGTGTTTCCAATTACAAAAGATCTCAATCCATGGGCCCACCGCCTTTAGCTGGGTCACAATTCAATACAGCTTTGGAGTTGATTTGGTTCCCTGACTTTGCCCCCCTTTCATTAAATCTGATCTAATAACAGAGCTGGTTGCTAGAATCAATATGACGGACACTTTTTTGAGGTTTGTCAGCAAGTCTCAGCCAAGACTGTGGAAGATAATCTCTGCCAGGCGTATGAAGAACCTTTTAAAGTAACTCAACCAGTCATCTTAATGACACGAGGTGATACGCTGACAGGAAAAGCGCTCTTTAAAAAACATGATCAATGCTATCGTTTGCTCCAAAGCTGACTGGAAACAGACACAACATACAGCGGCGTAGAGTTTCCAAATAGTGCATCTGCGTCTCTTTCCTTTCTCCGCTTCTACTCTTAATGTGTTTTTCAGCTTCCCCTCTTTCCTTTCCGCATCCTCCTATTTCACTCTCAGTTTCATCATCCCATCTCAACCTTCACCTTTTTACCCTCTTTGTGCCTCATTCGCCACTTTCCGTCATCTCTACCTCCTCTTGCTTTCACACCCTGACAGAATGCTTATCCTGTTGTGTTGATGAGATATTTGAACGATTAACATCATGCGTGCTGAGCAGATTATGATAGCCTTTCGGGAGCAGCCGTTTGGGCATGATGGAAAGTTTCCAGCGTGATAGAAAACTCAGCTGATAAGTAGGTTTAGATTGCCAACAAGGGAAAGACAACGTATGAAAGTCTGAACTCACCGATTCGTCAATGACAACAGCAGAGGTCTTCAACTTTCTTTGTTTCTAAAAGAAAAAGGACAGGAAAATTAAGTTTGGGATTTGTGTTTTATTAATCGTGTGAAAGTGAAGAAAAAAACTCAGGCTTTTTATGAAAGGATGATCAATTAGCAGTGCCAGCTTTATAAATAAAGCTCTAACACATTTCCATTTTTCATGCCAACTCTGTGTATAACTCCGAAGTTAAAGTTTCTGCCTCATAAATAGATGTTAAAGACTTTTTATCTTTGAGGTTAGATGAGAACATCTCAGTGAGACAGCTCACATGGAAAACTTGATGTCCTGTCAACATCATTCTGACTTTTGCAAACGTATGCAAATGTGTCTAAAATATCAAACTCACTCTCACCCAGAGTGGTTCTTTTCTGGGTTGCATGACGTCAACTATGAATAAAAAAAATATGATGTACTATATAACTAATTCCATCTACGTCTGACAGTGACGCTACCCTGCGCCACTGAGGCAGCTGTTGATACAGAGAGAGAGAGGGAAAAGAGAGAGGCAGATCACTTCCCAAATGCTCATTTTTAGCCGGCTTGTTTGGGCACAGCGCGCCAGAGCTGACGAGCTGAGCACAGAGTTTTTGACACAATGGTGTCATACTGGAGACTGTGATGTTCGGCTCGCACAAGTGAAAAGCATCGCACCTGCTGGCAACATGCAGACTGAGACACAAACAGACTGTTATCAAATCTGCGTCGCAATTAGCGTGTTTGGGGATGCTGCAAGTGCTAATGACACATTTGCCTTACAATGTTTCATTTAGAGCCTGTCAGGGGAGATGGCATGTTGAATTTTCTGGACCTGGTTGGAAATGCTACCCAGTTATCATGTATGCTGTCTCATTAAAATCCTTCAGCACTTTAGTTTAACTCTAGCAGATCATATTCTGTCAGAGACTTGAACTAGAGCTAAGTAGCTGCAGTACTTGGAAGCAGGAAGGAAGGTGAGGCCAGTCTGCCATCAGATCTAAACTTAGCTTCTGCGTAATGTCAGAGTGGTTGTCTTGAGGGTTTTATGTCTCCTCTTAGCTCCTGTTCTTTGAAATTATTTAACAGATGGGAGCGTCACTATTTCCGATGCCATGCTGTGTCAGTGTTCAGATGAAGCCTCCTTTTAAATGTTTAACTCTTTTTCTGAAACGTGCAGCGGGGTTGGCGAATAAACATGCTTTAATTTAGCGGTGTAATTCTGCTGGTGAAACCACACTAGTGTGGATTTTACAAACACAGTGGGTCTCATTACTTTGATTTGCAATGCTGTTTGTAGTGTATGTAGTGATAAACCTAAACCAAATTAGCAACAGCTTTGTATTTTAGGGTTTGAGCATCTTCCAAGTCTTAGTTTTGGTTGCATGGTTAAATTTTTTTTGTTTTTAAAGTTTAGTGCAGAGTCTCTTACAACCCTTGAACTGTTCCAGCTAAATGTATGCAGGGAAAATGTTAGCGACTAACAACTAACCACTGGATAGAACTGTGGTAAACGGATTGTATATCACACTTGTGTTCATTGGGTAACTGGAAATATGACCTGTAGCCTAAAATTCTTCTAGGGATGAAGGCCAAACAAATTAGCTGCTAGCTTTTTGGTTTCATGCCTTACAGCTTTCACTTTTATGTTTTAATGTCAAGAAAACCCTGACTATAAAACCGCTATATGCTGGCTGTCGACACCCAACTATGTCAAGGGGAAGTAGGTAACTATTAGCAAATGATAAAGCAGACCAGAAGTAAAAGACTTGTGTCTATTGATACTTAGCTTTAATGCTAATGCTTCCTTGTGTTAGCCTGGTTTGTAAAATAAATGCACTGTTCAGTGGCCAGTTAGCAAAGCTGGTTAGCGACTTTTTGATCTATACAATGATTAGACTTCATCTGCTGCTCCCAAAGCACCTTGTAAAGTATTATGAGACTTATATGGGTCTGCTATAAAGAATATTAGGTCTGATATTATGTGTGTAATGGGCTGGCAATTATGTGACTGACATTTTTGTTAGGTACTCTTGTATCATAATATTGCATCACGTTTGTGCGCAACTGACCGTTAATGTGATTCCCAAACTCGTATTTTGGGAGTAGTTATTAACAAGACATTACTTTACTCGACACTTGTTGTCACGTTTGCAATAAAACAAAGACATACAGCGTAGTTTGTACGAGCCAATGGCGACTTATTTCCCGTGCTTTCTCAGCAGCTAAGTATGTTGTAAATTAACAGTAATATATGTCTGAGGGTGATCTTCCCGGGGTTCAATTGCAGCACTAAAAAGTAAACAAACACAGATTAGATTTTTTTTAATGCTCCCACTTGACTGGCATTTTAGAAGTTGTGTAGGGATAAGTAATATCCTTCACCTCCACCTCAACATTCAGGAGGTTTTATGAGTCAAGGCTGGTGTCTCTGTTGGTTACTGTTCAGGGGAAGGTCATAAACGGGCGATTTATGTGCCGAGTGCAGCCAGGAATGCTGATGCTATACTGTCAGGGAGCAGAGATACTGTCTGCTTTGACTTCACATTTAATGGAAACTGTAAAGTTCAAAACTGCATGTCCTCACTCATGCTCTTTACAGTGTGTGTTCAGGGGGGAGAAGAAGCTGAAATAACTGGCAGAGAGAAGATATACAGGGTTGCATAATGGGACAGATGGAAGATAAATTAGGTCCTTGTGACACTAAAAGCAGGTTTCACACTTTCAGCGTCTTACATCACATTTCAGTTCTAATTTGGGGTCTAAGTGCACCAAAGTGCTGCGAGCGCTTAAGTTCACGGTCGTGGTGAAAAACAAACACTTCATTAGCTCTCAGTCTTCATGTGGGGCGTACACTTATTAAAATATTATTCAATCCAAACACACACCTTGCACCACAATCTTACAACACTCCCTCATCTTATCGATTACTGCGCCACCTACTTTCATTCTCAGCAGTTATCTGGACTTTAAGGCTGCCATTGTTAAGTTATGGGCATTTTAATTGCCATGGACAGGGGTCCATTAGCATTGCTTCTTGGGTGGCCATGGCCATGTTTCTCTGAATCATTAAGCTAATTATACAAGCTAATTAATCAGTATGCTAGGAATGGGCTGTGTGAGCAGACACCACTCTTTGTTGGCTTGCATAATGCAAGGAGTCCATTTTTAGATAGGCGAGTGGAGGGAGGGGAAACTTTGATCTGGAAAGTAAACATGATTTTTGCATATCATAGCAAAGACGGAAAAAAAGGAGCATTATGGATGCAAAAAGTCAAGCTGGATCCACATTTGTGGGGCTTTGAAGATGCAGGTTACTGCATGTGGAGGGTAGATAAAACAGGTAGTGTTGCGCACAGTGACCACATCCAATTATCAGTGTCATTGAAGACAAACAGATAGCGATCTGTCATTTACAGGTGCCTCTGATGTTTGAAGACAAAAATCTGCCATTCTTGAAATGGACTTGCTTTTCCTAACAAATGAGAGACCTGCCAGTGTCTCCTCATGAACGAGGAGGAACTAGATACCTCCCTGACATCCTTTCACGTCCCTTGCTACCCCATTATTTCCCAATCATCACTCTGATCCCGAGGCTTGACATAATCAATTAACATCCAACGTATGTGTGCAGTATGCTTTCACTTGATGTGTGTACGTGTATCAGTGAGTGCGCGTCTTCGCCATGCATGCATTCATGCTTTCTTGCGCACATTTAAGGGTGTGTGAGAGTGAGTCGCTGTCAGAAATTATTACTTACACGCAGACACAGGCAAACATCCTGCTACCCTGTCTTCAGTGTGTGGTGGAGACGCTGTCAGCATTCAAGTAGGGGGTCTATTTTTAGCCTTCCCTCATTATGCACAACTGAAAATCACCTCCTCAAAGTACATGAAGCATGTTTACGAAACCTAATGGGACTATGCTGATAATGCAGCAGTGCGAAGTGGCTACTGTGTGTGTTTTTATTCGCTCCTCTACACTCTCCTCTATGTGCGATTATGTATGCAAACTGAGCATTTATCCACAGAGCCGTGAACCAAGTGTTAAGTTGCGAATGGTATCACACATCTTGACCCCCCTCTCTCTCTCTCTTTGTCTCTTCAGGGAGATTCTGAGGAGTTCTCTTCTTTCATCACTCTGGTCCGAGGCAGCAATCGCAATCAATTATTCCAAACAGGTAAGACCTATACCTTATTACACTGAGTAAAAGGCGGCCTTGAAATTGCATTGTTTGATAAAACACTCCATCTTTGACTATAACCTATGACCAAAACGCCAATTCAAATGTCAGTGCAGCCACAGGAATCCACAATTTAATAACGTCAATCCATAGAAATCAAATCAGAGGTCAAACCAGTGGATGCTGTTAGTATGGATGAATGAATGGATGAATTTATGTCTGAACATGATCTATTGTTCAGCCTCAGTGAACTGGTTTCTTGTCTGCCTCGACTCTATTCAACCAGCTTTGGGGAATTTGCTTTCCAAAACATTTTTCAAGACAGAGGCGCTCCAGAGGGGTGGCCAGGGGTGGAACTGCCCCCACTTGAAAGCAGATGGCTGCACAAGATGCCATCCCAAAATCTTAAATCATGATTGGCTATTTGTCATGTCAGAGGTGGAGGACTGATGTGAAGAGTTAGGCAGCCAAAGGCCTTACCGCTGTGATGGGAAATAATGACACCGCTACACTTCCAGACACCTCAGTGGACAAGTCAAACATGATCCCCAGACTTAAAGGGATATTCCGGCGTAAAATTACGTTAGGGTCAAACACACCATAACACTGAGTTAGACACCCTGTCGAGAGATGAATGTTGCTGATTGCTTGCTTCTCTAGTAATACCAACTTTCGTAACGACAGCAGATAGCAATACACAGAGCCATACACTCAACCAATGATGGAATACCCCTTTAAACAGCAACAGAGTACACCTAATCTTGTCTACTACCTATGTGCGAAGCATACATTTGCAACTGTAGAACTACATTGAAGAGAATAATTCACTATAGACCTGTGGATGAAACTACATTGAAGAAGCTGCACATATTTGATTTTTTATCCTATGAGTACTTGACACAGAAAGAGGAAATTCATGTGTTTGCACGTGTAATTCATGCCGCCTCTGCATGAATCACTGCCTCAGCCAGGTTGCCCTGGTCAGAAAAGTCTGGACACGCTCCCAGCTGTAGAGAAAGGAATGATTTTTTACAAGTTCAAATGCTGAAAAATGACTAAAAGATCAGCCCAGGTAATTCAATTAGATGCCTACTCGACTGGACTGTTCATTTTACATCTGGTGTTGCTCTTTAACACATTATGTCACACATAAAGCATGCTAATGGTGCCCTCTGGAGTACAAAATTCTCCACTGCCGCTTCTGCTCATCTGCTGTTTGTAGAGGAGCTCTGTTTTCACATTAGGACTGTGTAGCTGCCGTGTCGATTCACACTTCTCACGGCAGTTAAATAGACGGAGGACTGACGGCTGCTTTTAGCACATTTTGGAAGCCCACATGCGAACACACTCACACATACAGCAAGGCTTTCTGAGGAAAACAGAAACAAGCTGGTGGCAGGAGGTGGCCCAAATGAAAACACACTCAAATCTCCAGAATCATCCGTCAATATAATACTGTCAGGAGATTATATTGATCTAGTTTTTGTCACGTACTTCATACTAAACTCACTTTTTTTGACTATGAATGCCAAACTTTACTGCAAAATTCAACATATCTCCAGTTAAACACAATACTCCAAGTGCGGTCTCTCTCTCTCTCTCTCTTTTTCTCTCAGAATGAACATAATCAGACTTATAATGCAATAAAGACAGCTCATATCTTTTGGAAACAGAGAGTTACCCTTTTTCACAGTGCTGGTTTTCAGATCAATGAGCAGTGCAGTGTTTTTCCCCAGAAGACTAGCGGGTGCAGCCGTAATTGGAGCGTTTGTGCTGCAGCGAGTTCCTGCTCCCCAGGCAGAGACCAGCGTGCACCAGAACATTTCTATACAGGTCCATAGGATTTCCAATGAATTTATCAAACACCTGCGAGGGAAGTTTTGAAGTATGCTATTTTTAAAATCAACCCCTGGTAGGCCTATTCAAAACCCAGCCTGTTGTAATTGGGACAAGGCCCTCTCTTTTACTCCTCATCCTCACCTCCAGGTTCCAATTTATTCCCGAGTGTGTTCAATAGATGAGTAAAAGCGCTACTAGGTGATGTGGCTTTTCACTCTCAGCATTTCACACGTATGCTGCCCTCCGCCCCTGTTGGCAATTACCGTGAAAAACTGTGAAAATGTATTCAAGGCTCAGGTGGCAAAGTGATTCAAATCAAAGATGACAGCGACGGACGTGGCTTCAGAGGAAAGGCCGGACAAAAACAGCTAAACACAGACATGCCAGTTAGACCAAGTTTGTGTGAGAAGAATTGCAAATGACAGATGCAAAACTGTCGCCATGTTAGAGCTCATTTAAGTGTCCTGTTCGAGAACCATTAAGGCATTAAAATTGTATTGAAACTGCTGTTCTTCCTCACAGAAAAAGACTCGATAAATGATGTTGTAGTGCGTTAAAGTGATGATAGTTGGTAGGGAGGTGCCGGCACGACACGACTGTCAGATGGAGTTGAGTAAGAGTCGCAGATGACCTGAGTTATCACTCTGAAATGCAAGATACTGGAATCGTAAGCGTGATTAGCTATGAAAAGGTCGTATCCACCGATCATAGCTGCAGATCGCCAGACTCCGCAGCTGATTGCAAGAGTTCTATTTATTCCTGGACGCCGGAGCATGCCGGATAAATTCAGCACAGTGCTCGAAAAAAAGTCGGGCACAGACACAAAATAAAACATCCAGCTTCTTTTCAAAATAAAACAGTGTTTTTCACTGAACGTATTTCAAACCGTGCAAACGGGCAGAGACGAACAAGTGATAGGTTTTTAGACAGCATTTCACCCCTATGACACCATGGATGAGGAGATGCTGATTTTAGAAGTCTAGAGGTGGAGTTCCTCCCCTGGAAGGACACAATCTACTGCTTTTATGGTTAGCATATGTGGCTGTCTTTATAGGGACAACTTGTTATCATGCGATTCCACATGAACCCACGGGTTCTTGTGAGTTCTCACGATTACCGCTGTCTGTAATACGCCACGAAATTCGCCTCACCAACAGATTCGGTAGGAACTGGCGGATGGCGAAAATTGCTGCCGTTCCAGTTCAGAGCCGTTCTGGATGCAGTGAAAAATGGGGGTAAGACTTTACAGCTCAAGAATATACAGTAAATATACAACAATCCTCACCTGTTGGTTAGGCTTCAGGTGAACATTTTGTCAAAGTTCATGTGTTAGAAGAAAAAAACGGCAAGCATAAGGATGTGAGTAACTTTGACAAGGGCAAAACTGTGCTGGCCAGATGACTGGGTCATAGCATCTCCAAAACTACAGCCCTCCAGGGTAGACCCCCATCTGCAGGGGTCAACACGACCTACCAAAAGCAGACTGAGAAAATAAAACTACTGAACCGGAGTGAGGGCCACGAACAGCTAAGGCTCACTGATGTGTGTGGGGAGTGAAAGCGACAGAAAAGCTCAAGCTGGTGAAAAAAGCTTATGCAGGTGTGGATAGAAAGGTGTCAGAACAAACAATCCCAATGTCATGGGCGTTTGTTGTGTTGAGAAAAGGCCTTGCAGTACGTTATGTAACCTCTAACCCACCCTGCTACTTCCAAGGGTCAGGCTGCCCAATCTGATTGTGCTTTCATGCTTCTTAAATTAGATACACTGTGTTATGGCTAGCACCAAGTGTGTGTTTGTGTGCAAGTGTTCATCTGAGCGTGTGTTGTGGGCCAGCCCTGGCTGCGATGATTTATTATACCGCTTGAAGGGACTTGTACTTTCATGAGGTCACATGAGTAACATGGCAGCCAGGCATAGCACACTGTTCTCTTTTGGCCCTGCCGGCGACAGGGAGGCATGCCAACAAAGCTACAACAGACTCCAGTTTGCTCATATGCAGGTACACAGCTAAGTATATATGCATTGTACACATGTCCCAGACAGACGCACACACAAGCAAAATCAAATACTGTAATCCGGGCTTAATACTGCTTTATCACCTGAACAGGAGGCAAACCTTATGCAAATGCAGATTTAAGCTATTCCAAAGGCACGTCAGATTTGGGCTCTTCTTTAATGTGTCTTTAGAGAGGTTAAGTCTATGCAAATGAAGCCTCATGAGTTTGAAAATGCTGGGATTTGATTTTAATAACACTTGGAAGAAGCCACAGAGATGCAGATGGAGACTTTAAAGACTGACCTTGATGGTTGGTTTTGGCTCATATTTTACCTGAGGGCAGCTACAGACGTTATTTTGTTTTTTTCAGAATATTTGAAGGAGCAACTAAAGAAAATTAGTGAGTTTGCATCTTTTAATGTGTCAAATAAGGGTCATTTAAAATGAAATGAGGTGGATAAACCACAGGGGCATATTGCATTCACTTACAAAACAAAAAAAGGAAACTGTTTTTTTAAGTATTTTTTTTTATTTTTGGACAATTTTTTATTATTTTTTTTGTAGTATTTTTTGTGCTTTTCCTGACAAATTTTTATTCCATTTTTTTAAAATATTTTTTTGTCTCTCTGTTTTTTAGACAATTTTTTACTCTGTTTTTTTTTTTTTTTTTTTTTACTTTTTTTTCTTCTTTCTGTTTTTCTGACTATTTATTATTATTATTATTTTATCTCTTACTATTATTTTCCGTCTTTCATTTTTTGGACTATTTTTTCTTCTCTCTGTTTTTCTACATTTTTTGGGACTAATATTTTTTCCCTTCTCTCTGTTTTTCGGGCAAATTTTTATTCTGTTTTTTGTAGTATTTTTTTTCCTCTTTCTGTTTTTCTGAGAAATGTTATTGTTTTTTGTTTAACAATTGTTTTGTCTTTCTGTTTGTCAGACTATTTTGTATTCATTTTTTTTTTTTCGTCTACTGCTTTTTGGACTATTTTTTCCCCTAACTAATCGAGATACTTCAAAATCCTGCGAGAATCTCAAACAATCAGATAACCACAGCGGCTGATCCAAATCAGCGGATTCTCCAGTCACTAGATAACTTTGACTACGGGGTCAGTGAGAGTAAAGCGTGTTATTAGTCAAACATAGAGTATGCAAATACTGAGGTGCCTGCGCAAAGTAGACAAACATATGACGATTCCATCTATCTGACTTAAAGAAAGGAGTATCTCCCAGTGTCTTAAACCCAAAAGACAATAAAACTTGATTAAAGTAAACAAGTGGGCCATGTTTGCTTTATTTTTTCTCTATTAGTTCTTTGGAATGAAGCCTGACTGATTTCTGTATTTCCTCACAGGTGGGGGCAAAGGGGGCAGTTAGTTTCGAGTGGTGTGTCGGCGAGGTCAAACAGCAGCAACGGGCAGCATGTTGGCACCTGCGTGAACCCAGCAGTGAAGCCTCATTTCTCGGTGAGTTGGACAAGTCTTCTCTTAACTTCAACAAACCGCACACAGAGCAGCTGTTCTCCTCAGACAAGGTTTGTTATATTACACTCACCATTTGTACTGTCTTTTAATTATGACTCAACTCATTAATGGGTTTAAAAGAAGCTTAATTGCAAAATATATTTCTCTGCACATTTAAGCTTTATTATGAGAAAAGCAGCTGTCAGAATTAATTGGAGCTGCATTTTTTACTGCTTCTCTCTCAGCCTCTACTTTTTTAAGACTTCCCTTTGGGTTTTGTGAATGGTATCAAAAGAGGCAATTTCAATTTGTAGTTAAAAGAGCATGTTTTTGTCAACAGAAAGATTTACTAAATAGTTTCATAACTGTTTTCTTTATTATATTCATACCTTCCTAAGATATAAGGCTTTTTAAAACGTGCTAATGTAAGTAAATATAAAGTGACTATTAATTATAAACCTTACATTTCTAACTTGAACAGGTCCACAAGATCAACTGTGCAAATATGACTTGAACACAATACGAATAAAAGATACCTGCACAGTCTATCTTCTGCCTAATGCTCTTGCATGAGTAAATAAAGGTGAATAACTGAGTCAGGTAGATGTTTTTTGTCCATAATAGCCTCCATACTCACATTTAGTGATGCCATATTTGAAGAAAATGGAGATTGCAAATCCAGACTGATATAGCCTGCAGACGTTGTGGGCCATGAAATAAACTTAATGATGCAACACCAGGAGACAAACACACTTTGAAGAGACACAAAGCTTTGCAGTAGACAAGACAACACGAGCAACAACTGCAGTTTTTAAGCTAAATAAAGAAGTAGATTGACGGAAATTAGGTTAAAAACTTCATATCAGGGACGAAATCTAATTAACAAAGTCGTATATAAACGAGGAGCTCACTGCTTAATGATTGCTTTCCATTACTTGCTTGTTTCGCTGTGGCGTTTTACAATGGCTCTTCGTTTAATTGTTTGCGACTTCAAAGCTGCACCATCATTAGCCGGAGAACTTTAAATCAAAATCCCCTTTCTTCTTTCCACCAACACCTCTCGGCTTTGAAGCAGATTCAGGGGCCGCGTTTAGAATGATTTAAATTTAATGTGGAGATTGTTGGAGGAAAAAGGGGAGATAAATTTGTAATGAAATAAACTAAGAAGACAGGAAGAAAGAAAAAATAGACAAAAAAGGTCAACACAGGACCAGACCAGGAGGAAAACAACAGAGACAGTCTGCACAGAGAGATTTGACTCGGTGTCGGGAAAGAGAATATTTTAGAGCAGTGCCTTCATTATTGTTGGAATCAGACTATTACCTGCCTTGTAACTTTGTTTACCACCAGATGAGTGGACTAGATACTCAAAAATAGGGACATGGGCTTTTATTATGGTCTCAGATTGTTGTGAATGCCAGTAAGTATAAAAATAGACATTGCTGCCGGATATACATCATTCAAGCAGGCATAATGTGATCGAGGGACAAATTTTAAGAATTGTTTCCCAGATATCCCTCACCTTTCAAATGCTAAAAACTGTTCCCAGAGGAGAAAATCCCTGCCCTGGACCTGAGCGATGTTGTAGCCTGAGAAAATACATTCAGCAGGATATAAATATTGCACAGCAAGTACATGGAGGGCTTTTTGGCCGATGAATTATTGCAAAGTCCGGTGGCTTTGTGCCAGCCTCAGAGTATATCTCGCTCAGCTTCACCCTGCCAGAAGCTGAAGCTGGGGGAATTGTGGTTACGGGCACTCCACAAATAACTACCAGCGATACCAGGGATCCATCACACTCCTCCCACATGTTGTGTACTTACACTTGAGTGCAGCTGACAACAGACAGCTTGCTAAAAGAACATGGGCGTCAGCATTACCTGTGAGGCCTGAGTCAGGGCAAAAAAGCCTGCTTACTATCCACAAGGTGCTGTAGAAAGTGTGCGCAGTGTAATCTAAGTGATGTTTTTTATAATACCGTGTATGAACAAATGCAGCAAATATATTTGCTTTACTTTTAGGGAGTGGAGGAGAAGATGTGTGCCCAAATAATTCCTCCCATGATGCTTTGTAAAAAGGTTTGTCCCCAAAAATCGTATAAACTAAACCAGCTTTCAGTGCAGCGGTGCAGTCTGATTGTATAATAATGAGTCCATACGCCTTACATTAGTCAAACAAGGTTGTGAAATTAATCCAAATTCTCTTTTTCCCTGCCAAATCACTTTTCATTTGCACAAGATAATAATGTAACTCAGCGGAGCATGAAGTTAATGGTTAATACATCTGATAGGAGAAGCACAATGAGAAGAAAAGACGATCAAAATAAGCATCTAAATGGAAAAAGGACTTTTGCTCCGCTCACTGCATTGTCGAGGCAAAGAAATGTTGGACAGGTTGTGTCTTTTGGTGATTAGTGGGGGGAAAAAAATGAAAAACATAATCCCCAGACTGCTGACATATTTCTTTTGAAAAGCGCACCCTGTCTGAAAAAGACAGATACGCGCTGGAAAATGGATCAAATCTGCTTCATGTCAGATAGCGAGCGAGGGTTTCCCAGGGTGAATATCTACAAAACCACAAACAGACAGGATTAGAGATTGAAGTAGTGGACAAAGTAGATCAGAACAACACAAGAAAAACAGTTTTATAATGCTTCAACTTACGATAACCTACTAATCACTCCACTAAACACTGTGCTTAGCCCCACAGTATTTTGTAGTGAGAATCTGCAGGGGGATGTGTTTTAAGGGAACAGATTTAAAACCATAATTTGTCCTAATAAAAGTGCTAATTCTCGAACACTGCATTTCTGTCGTAATTATAAGGAAACAAGCACTGCGAATTAATTTCATTTCCACTAAAAAGAAGGAGTAACTCTGCAGCCGAGCCAAACCGAAACAGTGTGTGTGTGTGAGTGTGTTTAATGAAATGCACAGATTTATCTCAAGGCACTATGGATGAGGTATTTAACTCTAGTGCATATTTCATGACTGTTAAATGCACACCGGCTGCTCGTTAGTCATGTGACAGGTAATGGCGCCTCTTAAGGAGGCGGTAGAAGATCTCACTCTCATGCATGCATATTAAGTGTGTGCATCCAGGCCTATAGAAAAGAAACACAGACGGAACAAACAGAGCTTTGCTTATTATTCACAGCTTTGATTAACTGCAGTGTTTGTCAGTTGATATCACTGCTCTGCCATTAAAACTACCATTAATCTATTCAATAAAGACATTTGCACATTAAATCTGATTACTGTCACTTAAAATAGAAAACAAATAGTTCAGATATAGTATATTTAACCAATCAACCATGAGTGTTTCACTATTTTCACCTGAGCTAAGATGTTGTGATAAAGTTTATCCAGTGTGATACAACCACAAGATGGTGCTGTGCATCACTTTTTGGCCTCAGACTCTATCTGGGGCCGTGACATAAACCTCAACCTACAAGAGCTTCTTGTTTGATGAGCTTGATTTACATACACAAATGTAGTTTGTTTCAGTTGCTTTTGGTTTGTTTTGACATCCTTTTTATAATTATGTTGACAGTCAAGACACAACTGAGTCCAATCCAGACACCTATACATATGATACCCCTAAAACTATATCAGTCATACAGTCACTTTATATTTGTTTTACTCACAGACAGCCATAGCAGGAGCACAATCGGGTGGGGAAAGATCACAATTACTATTTCTTTTTGCTCCACCAAAATAAAAATAATAACAATGATAAACAGTGTCTTTTATCTGGAAATATTCTTTGATTTTACAGAAATTAAGAGGACTTAATAATAGGTTTACTACAGCATGAAGCACAATAGCAGGGACTTTTTTTATTGTCTGTTCAAAAAGTCAGTTTTTCACAGGCCGCTTTTGATCCTGATATCAAAAAAGGGAGAAAAGGTCAGAAATGTTGGTATCACATTGTTAATATAAATAAACATTGTATTCAATAACTGTAAATGGGAAATAAAAAAAATCTTGTAGCAAAATAGTCCACAAAGGAATTTTGGATGTCTATACAGCCATGTTCAATTTTTCAAAAGGAAACAAAAATTTAGAGTGAAAAATGCCACTAAAAGTTTAAAAAGTCATGTCTGAGTCCATTTATGTATGTCCATTAAAGTCAAATACTCACTGATATCTCAACGGTAGAATGTTTCAAATAAATCCAGAAACCTTAATGTGATATCGGCCATGTGAGGGCCAATCAGATACTGTGTCAATTATTAAAAAATATCATTAATCGGCATGATTAATCAGTGGACTGATTATCTCTCTCTCTCTCTCTAGTCTCATTGGGTGATTTTAAATGATCTGGAGGCAGACTAATCCAGCTGTAGCTGTTGTGCTTGGTACACTTATGACCTTGGTTGATTGAGACAAACATCCGTCAATTCATCTGGTTATGTTTGAATGAATTACAGACATTTACATTGTGTTATGTTTGAGTCTCATTTTCAGGAGAATTTGTTTAACATGTCGAGAAGAAAAGATTAGTGTTTATTGAAAGCCTGAAGGTCTTAAATTGAAAGAAAACACCTGTTTCTTTCAAGCGTCAATGTCACAGAGCGGAATTTAATTAGAGACATGCATTCTGACTTACAAGCCTGAAATACAGTTGTAAAGCAGGGTATTTATTATTAAACCAGCCATATGAGTGAATATATGAAAAAGAGTTCATGTGAAGGGAAAGTGTCTGAATTGAAATTAAAGTAAATTCCAGTAGATGGCAGTCTGTCAATACAGAATCTTTCCACCCACATCCTCCTCATACACACACACTCTCTGGAGTAGGTGTGCCTCTCGTCATCAGGAGAGGTCTCTTACTTGTAATGTCGACCCTGCGCAGTATGACGGCTGAGAGAGGAAAAAAAGTGAAAGCGCAAACCAACTTCCATAGCCGCGGTAACAAAGCAGACCAGCTATTTCAACGCTGACTTCAAAATAAAAGCATGTGGATTAATGTCTTCATGATGGAGTCACTGCTCTCACACCTCTGCAGTGTTTTCCTTCCTCCATTCTCACCCCTGCTATCCCTCACACTTGTACAAAGCCGAATGGCG